ATATGTGGTCATGTCATTAGGTGTGGTCGTGTGGTCGTATCTGTGTCGTTGAATCAGTTTAATCTAAAGGCTGTGGTAATTCTGAGGATTTTCGCGCGTTTTAGTAAGTGGGGGTGTTATGGTAATTACAGTGACCATTTATAGCGGGCGGGTTCCAGAATACACCAACAGTGTTGACAACATACACCAATAGTGTAATAAAACACACCACAGTGGAACACACTAATGTATTCCCGTGTTATGGTAATTACAATGGCCATTTATAGCGGTCGAGTTCCAGAATACACCAACAGTGTTGACAACATGCACCAATAGTGTAATAAAACACACAACAATGTGATTTTCCTTATTCCGGTGTTTTATGACAAGTTTACCCTTACAGTTCGCTGGGTAGAAGAATGTGCGCGAAAATACTGAAAAAATCTTGATTAATATGATTCATTAGATCTATCTAATCTAATGGTCTATAATTGACCATATGACCACACCTAACAACATGGCCACATGTGATCACTCCTATATATATATATATATATATATATATATATATATATATATATATATATATATATATATATATATATATATATATATATATATATATATATATATATATTCATAACAAAATATAAAACATAATTAATTTGATAAAATGATTCAAATAGAAAACATATTATAAATTGTACATCTCACTATTAATATAAAAGAAGACTTACACATCTTATATTCTAAAGAATAAAAACAATGAATAAGGTTCAAATTGACCACTGAATGTAACCTGAAAATGCAATTAGGCCACTAAACGAAAAAAAAAAAGTGCAATTGCACCACTAAACACACCAAAAACGTGCAATTAGGCCACTGAACACTCCAAATGTATGCAATTTTATCGGATAGCAGGTTACCATCGATTTTAGCAGGTTACCTGCTTACGTGGCAGCTGAGTTGGCATTTTTAATAATTTTTAAATAAATTTTAATGTAAATTTAATAATAAATTTTAATTTTTTAAATAAATTTTAATAATAAATTTTAAATTTTACTTGCTTACCATCATTTTTTTATTTTTATTTTTTAAAAATTATTATTAAAATTTATTAAAAATTATTTTAAAATGCCAACTCAGCCGCCACGTAAGCAGGTAACCTGCTAAAATTGATGGTAACCTGCTATCAGGTGAAATTGCATACACTTGGAGTGTTCAGTGGCCTAATTACACTTTTTTTTTTCGTTCAATGGCCTAATTGCATTTTCAAGTTACGTTCAGTGACTAATTTGAACCTTAGGGTGTGTTTGGAAACCTGGAAAATGAGTTCTGGAAATCATTTTCCAAGTTTCCAGTGTTTGGATGTGCCTGGAAAATCAAGTCAACGGAAATCATTTTCCGTTGACTTTGGAAAATAGGCTTGTTTTGGAGGAAAATGACTTCCCCTTTTTTTTGGGGGAAGTCATTTTCCAACTTTTACACCAACATCACACCACCACCAACATCATCAACACCATACCACCATCACCACCACTATTGCCGCCGCCACCACCACTATACCCCCGCCACCATCACACCACCACCACAACCACCACCAACACCGCAACCACTACCACCACCACCACCACCACCATACCACTGCCACCATCGCCGCCGCCACCACCACCACACCACCACCTTCACACCACCGCCGCCGCCACCACCACCACCATACCACCGCAACCACCGTCGCCGCCACCACTACCACCATACCACCGCCGCCGCCATCGCCACCATACCACCGCAACCACCGTCGCCGCCACCACCACCACCACCATACCACTACAACCATTGTCGCCGCTACCACCGCCACCACCACCATACCACCACAACCACCATCGCCGCCACCACTACCACCATACCACCGCCACCGCCATCACCACCATACCACCGCCACCACCACTACACCACCGCCATCACACCGCCACTGCCGTCGCCGCCACCACCACCATACCACCGCCGCCACCACCACCACCATACCACCGCAACCACCGTCGCCGCCACCATCACCACCACCATCGCAACCACACGACCACTGCCACCACCGTCATACTACCACCACCATCACACCAACACCACTACCGTCGTCGCCGCCACCACCAGCATACTACCGCAACCACCGTCGCCGCTGCCACCATCATACCACCGCAACCACCGCCACCACCATCACACCACCGCCGCGCCACCTCCACGACCATACCACCGCAACCACCACCGTCGCCACCACCACCATACCACCGCCATCACACCACCACCGTCATACCACCACCAATTATTATTATTATTATTATTATTATTATTATTATTATTATTATTATTATTATTATTGTTATTATTATTATTATTATTATTATATAACGAATAACACCACTACCACTACACCACCACCACCACCATAATATTTTTGATATGTTATTAGTTTTTTTTTTTTTTTTTGAAAAACTTAGCTATTTTTATTATATTTAAAATTAATATTATATTATTATATATTATTATACATGTTGTAATATTTTAAATAAAATAATTAAAATGTTTAATTATACAATTCTACTCATTTTCCAGAAAATGAACCAAACACAGAAAAACAGTTTTCCATAATGCAAACAAACACTGGAAAGGAAAATGTTTTCCAGAAAATGACTCATTTTCCAGAAAACATTTTCCAGAAGTCATTTTCCTGCTTTCCAAACGGACCCTTATAAGATTTGTCTCTTTGATCTTTTTCCTAAATTAAAGGCATAACTTATCATTTTACCTAACTCGTATTTTGATTACTTGTATCTGTATATTTTAGGCGATTAGCACTAATCTCAGGTACCTAAGCCAATACTCCAACAATCTCAAAATAAGATGGAATGATAGCAGTTTTTAATTAAAGATGATGTTTTTAATTGAATGAGTAATCAAATCTCATAGTTATATTTTAAAAAGTTATCAACTAAACACTAACTATGATTTTGATCAACATTCTTAATGTGTAGATTTATGAACCAAACACACAATCCTTTTAATATAAGAAACGTTCGTGGTTCAGTGGGATTAGGTGAGCTGTCCATTATTTAATTTGTACCTGCTTTTGTATAATTGTATATCTGTATGCATCCATTACAATTATTTATGAATTTCATCATTTGATTTTTATGTTTGATTCCTAAGTTCAAATCAAAATTAATCATATCTGTTTTCAATTATTTAATTATGACATTTTTAGCCATTTTAAATTATTAAAAGGAGCATATTTCAATAATCCATATATGTACATACCTGATCAAGTTTAAATTTAAAGACTGAAAGTTAAAAACATAACAAATTTAAATTATCCCAATTTATAAATCAGTTAGTCTTTTATGATCGAGTCCATTTAACATAAAATAAGTAATATTTTTTAGATAAAATTTAATATTTTTTAAAATTAATAAGTATTACATTTTTATTGAAGAAATATTATGTCTACTAATATTTTGACAAAGTTATATCATATTTAGTTAATTCATGAATAATTGTTCATTATAAAATATCTTATAATAATTCATGTTAGTAAATACAAGTATTAAGTGTAAATTGCATTTTACATAGTATATTAAAAAGCCGAAATTAGACCCCTCGCCCTATAGCACTCAAGTGATTGATTAATTTAAAATAAATTGGTATATAACTTTTTTTTTTTTGAAACTCTCATAATTCTTTACAAAGTAGCATATATTTTATACTTTATGCACCAAAAAAAATATATATTTTATACTTTCTGAATCTATTTCAGCTCAAAGAATCAATGCCCACACCACCAAGTTCTGTGACCACCCATTTGGAATGATAACATAGATACCATCATACTACATATAGCAGTTGGCAGTTGGCAGTTGGTATATAACTTTGTTGATTATTGAGCCCGCCGTGCATTTTTTTAACGAGTCGATCAATCACCCAATCAGGATTCAAAATCCTGCACTGCTACCTCTAGTCATGACCTTTAAATCATACGACAAACCAACTACGCTAAGCCCCGGAAGACCATACGTTTCTTTCTAATACGATTTACTTATCGTGTATAATTTACTAATTTATGGACTGATACACATAAACGAAGTTTACTTAGTCTACAAGTCTACAATATTGCTCCACTTGGTTTTTCTGGTCATCCAAGAAATAATAAGGGAATTGTCAAATAAGCCTTTGAACTTTACTCAAAAAATTAATTAAACCCTTAAATTTGTCAAAAGTTGCAATTAAACCTATAAACATGTTATTTTGAAGCATTTAAGCCCAAGAACCAATTGGTAACCTGTAATTCCATGTTACCCAAGGTTCTGACGAACTTTTATACACTTTTCAACGATAATCGCGTTTGGAGGAGGCGACCAACTGGTCTGCCTTCTCCTTCTCCTTCTCCCACCGTCGGAGAAGGCGACTAGTTGGTATGTCTTCTCCTTCGCCGGGGCAGGCGACAAACTTGGTCGCCTCCTCCAAATGCGTCCGGCGACTAGCGGTCGCCGGTGATTATTACTGAAAAGTGTAGGAAAGGTCACTGAAACCCTAGGCAACTTGTAATATAACATGTAATTACAAGTTATTAATCGGTTTATGTGTTTAAATGCTTCAAAATAATATGTATGAGTTTATAATTACAAGTTTTAAAAGTTTAAAATTTAATTAACTTTTTGCGTAAAGTTTATGTACTTGTTTGACTCTTTTACCAAAAAATAATAGTACGAGTAACAAAACAACATAAAATGATCAATGCTCAGAGTACCTCATTTTTTTTCGGTGTAAACCACACATTGTGATCCGTGTCTTTCTCTATCCGTTTAATGGTCCAGATTCACCATGTTCCCGCCGAAAGGCACAGAAGCTAGCCCAAAGGAAATCATTACTTGTGGAATCCAACCCAGAGCATCTCATAATCTAACAAAAAACAAACATCATAAGAAGGTGTATCATGGCAAGCAATTGACTTCGTAACGATTTTTAATTCATTGAATGGAATTTTCGTCGCCTGTTTTCTTGCGGCAGACGGGAAAGACTGCTTCAACGGCACTATCCGACTGTGGTTAGCTTGTCGCAAGTGTGAATCCTCAAAGGATCCGAAAAGATGCCATATTCTTCCCAGTGTTCCGATTCATTTTTCAGATTTTTTTCCACTCTCTCAACCCAGAAATATGAACCTTCATCATCATCATCAGTTCATCATATTAATATTCAAGAACAGCTCAACATGTGTGCACAACTACTCCCTCCAGAAAAGTCAACTTTCCCAGTTTCAATATTGAACAAATATATTATATTGCAGACGAAATTGGCTTTTCTCTTTGAATATTTTAAACGAAAGGCTGCTGTTTTGCTCTCGCCATCATTTTTACCCGATCAATGATCATCGTATCGGGGTTGCTATCTACCTACCTAATATTTATCAACCGTACAATAACCCATCCCTCAAATGGCGACCCAGTCAGCGCCAGCGAAGGAAATTCATGTTTTCTTAAGAGAATTACATTTACCAACCGCGCCTTCCTAGCTACCAGCTGCTCATATTGTGGGCAAGCAGTGTTCTTTACTCCTCTGTAAGGTGAAACACGAAATTTCCAATTGAGTTTTAGGTTTCTCTGTTGAGTTTGATAACCCATTTGTTTATTTGGTCAATGATTTTGTTGATGCAATCACTTAGGTAATCAGGAATATTCAATTCTTTTGGACAGAGATATTTTGTTTTCTTTATTTCTCAAGCATCTGGATGTGGGGGGATTGTTTTCATTAGTCAAAAGTTTGTATCTTTAAATTGGGTTTTGTTTGTTGTGTAATACTTTTAGTAATTATATCTGAAACTGGGCTCAGTTGTGGAATATTGCTTGCTTTCTGTGTTATCAGGGGAAGGATGCTCAAGGTTTCATAGTTTTGTAGTTTGAGAGGAGTTTTTGAATTTTGGGTCCGTATCTTCAAAATGAACACCAGGAGAATTGCTTTGATTGAAGTGAGTTTGATTGTATGGATTTGCTGGTTTATGTTGGTTACTGGGGCAGACGATCGAGTTACTCATCCTGATGAAGGTAGCAGCTTTATTTCTCTCGTATCCTTGGTTAGACTATAGAGCTGGTTTCAAGTACTGTATTTTCCCGACCTTATATTGCTGAAATTGTTATGCTGAATGGTGAGTCTAAAGAGTGTGTTAAGATGGAAGTTCACATTTGTTAAGAGTTAAATGAAGATCAAACATTCAAACAATCCAAAGTATACCCAGGATTGAGTTTTCCTTGTTTGAGATGGGAGTTTAAAAGCTAACAAACATGTAGAAGCTTGGGACATGATTCTTTGAAACTCGTAACCTGCCCCTATTTGTCTTCTCAAGCTCTGGATGGATGAACTTTGAGTTCGTAAATAAGGAAATGCCATGCACTATGATATATAAAGTTCTGTTGATATCGATGCTAAAACTGTGGTGCCTTTCAAAATTTTTTTTATGCAGTAAAAGCATTGCGTTCCATCAGGGGAAGCTTGATTGATCCAAATAGGAATCTGAGTAACTGGAGGGCAGGAGATCCATGTGCCTCAAATTGGACAGGGGTGCTATGCTATAATGACACACTGAGTGATGGCTACTTTCATGTGCGAGAACTGTACGACTTCTTCAATTGTGCCTGACTCGTTTTCTTTCTTTGCTTTGCCATGAACATAGATATTACACAGTATTAAGATACCAGTTTCTCGACTTTCCTCATACTATGATTGAACGCTTACATTTCTGCTCTAGTGATTTTTATCTTCTTATTGTATAACCATTACATATTCACATGAGGCCGCAAAGAATCACTGTAAAATGAACAAACTAACCAGTAGCAACCATTACAATCGACAACAATCAAAATGGAGGGCTGAAGACAATTTGATTTCAAACTTTCTACTTGATATGAATCCATCATTATCATTTATTTTTGTGTTATGCCAAAAGTATGAACTCCTCCTCATTCTGTCCTTTTAACAGGCAACTGTTGAAGATGGGCTTATCAGGAAGTTTATCACCTGAGCTTGGCCGCTTATCTCATTTGAAGATATTGTAAGTTCTGATTTCTTGGACATGCTTTTCCCCCCACTTCGTTATTGTTTTTAACCAAAATGTTTACTTTTGTTTGTTCTGGAAGAGATGTGATGTGGAACAGTATTGGCGGAAGTATACCAAAGGAGATAGGAAGTATTTCAACGTTAGAGTTATTGTAAGTTTTAAAATTTTCGTTCATTCATTCTGCTACTAGAATTTTCTAGTTTGTTTCTCAAAAATACACGGCATATTGCCTTTTTCTGATTTTCTTCATCGCTCTTCTTTGTTCCAGGCTTCTGAATGGAAATGAACTGACAGGCCCCTTGCCTGAAGAGCTCGGTAATCTTCCTAATTTAGACAGGATACAAATCGACCAGAATCACATATCGGGTCCAATACCTCTCTCATTTGCAAATTTGAACAAAACGCAACACTTGTAAGGAAACTTCTTATTTGCTCGCTCAAATGCAATGATATTTGACTTTATTCCCATGACTGCCCGGACTTTTCATTTTTACATGTTTTGAATAAATTGTTATTTTGTTTCCTGGACAGCCACATGAATAACAATTCATTAAGTGGACCAATCCCGCCTCAGCTGTCTAAACTTCCCCAGCTTCTTCACTTGTAAGTTGTCTATCTCGCTCTTTTAAGGATGTCTCCATGAAGCATGGTTATCCTCGAACTATAAAAGGGGTTGTCCTTGGTACTTGTCGCTTACATTTACATTCGAATAATAGTCCAAGGTTGAGGCTTTTAACAACTATGTTTAATAAAACGATTCTCGTTCCTGTAGCTGGAAAACATTAACTGATAATACACGGGATAGTGTGATTATAATAATGCAAGCTTCTCAATTAGATTAGTCTTGGTCATTGATGCTGAAAAGTCACAGAAAAAGTTAAATCTTTAAATATATTTTTACATTTTATATAGATTTATGTATACCGTTTTTCTTTCTAATTCTGGACACTCGTTGCCCTAGAGTGCTTCCTTGCCTTCCTTTTAGGCTTTTACCAGACTATTCATTGGCATTATGATTATTTCTTCTTGCTAGTTGTTAATGACATAAATTTCTCAGATTGCTCGACAATAACAACTTAACGGGATCCCTTCCACCAGAGCTGGCTGAATTACCAAAAGTGCTCATCATGTAAGCGGTATTTCTTTCTGCATAAAATATTTATCAATAAAATATCATACTGTTAAGAGTCCCATATTGATAAAATAAGAGAGAACATATGGGTTTATAAGGCCATGGGTTAGACTAGCTAATTGGTTGGATTCAATCTTTTAGTGTGGTTTGACCCATATGCATAATAACCTTTTGGGTTCATCCGTTTATGGGTATTGGTGGCGTCCAAACTTTGAATTCTCTCTCTCTCTCTGCAGTCAACTTGACAACAACCACTTTGACGGGAGTCGGATACCAGAGTCTTATGGAAACATGTCTCATTTGCTGAAAATGTAAGTGAATGCGAAACTTAATTTTGCCCTATATAGAGTAAAGGATGTAAGGCATTCATGATTTATTTTATTTACCTTGACTTTGATTTATCGTGTGGTAAGGTTGTATTTTAATTGTATGCATATTAGAGGATGCAGTTGTCTATTTCCGACCTATGCTTTCACATTGTTTGTTATAGTATTCAAAAGGATCTTACGCTACACTATATATATCCAATCTATGTTTAGCTTCTAAATATTGACAACTTTCAATTTTAATACGTTAAATGATGTTGACAACGAAAGTAATATCTTTGGGTTGAGTTAATATACAAAGACTGCGTGGGGCCTAGGTATTATGTTTCGGATACTGTATCTATCATCTGAGGGCTTTTCGTTTGTCTTTGGTTATCAGGAGTCTCAGGAACTGCGGCCTGCAGGGGCCAGTACCAGATCTAAGCAACATAGCTAATCTCACTTACGTGTAAGTAATATGCCATATGTCCAAATCTATGAGTGTGTAAAATACGAGATGGTGCGAGTTTTTGGTGCATATAACTATATAAGGTGTATTTCATATATTTTTGAACACTTATTATTTAATCAACATCGGTTCCATTGGAAATACAAAACCCTTCGTTGTGGGTTTGAGCCTCAGTGGAGGCGGTAGATTGAGAAAATAGTTATGAACAGATACTGCATTGTAATACAGTCAGTAATATTCAAAAAAAAAAAAAGTCATTACATTTCATTGTATTTCGTTCTTTTGCTCCAATCCTACTCTAATTTTTAATTTTCGCATTTCAGAGATCTCAGCTCTAACCAACTTACAGGGCCCATACCAACAAATAGGCTCTCCGGGAATATCACAACCATGTAAGAGTCTATTTTAAATTCTTTGGACTTAATCGTCTACTCTTAATTATTAGTCAGTTGCCAGAACAGATATTATTCTTTGGCATATTGGTAATCCTATTGAATTGCAAAAATTGTTAGGGTAAAATTTTATGCATACTAATAATATCAAATTTGCAGCGATTTATCAAACAACAATCTTAATGGAAGTATTCCTACAAGCTTTTCTGAACTTCCTCGTTTGCAGAGACTGTAAGCATTTCACCTAAGCCTCTTTTAACAGTTCGATTAACTGGACTTTATTTATTTTGTTTCGGTGTCCTGATTGGAGTTATTCTTCTTTCCAATTAATTGTGCTAAATCGATGGTCGCTAATAAGTTACTCTGCCTTTTTCCTTTGCAGGTCTCTTGCAAACAATTCGTTAAGCGGTTCTATACCATCCACTATTTGGCAAAATAGGAGACTTAATTCAACTGAGAGCCTCTTCCTGTAAGACCTCAAACTCGTAGATTTGTGGTTTCTTCAATACTAAATGTCAACAATTTGCGTGAGAAGCCTACCGATGTACTAGCAAAATGACAATATCTGCACGTTTCCATGCCAACATCCTTTTCTTTTGGTCTTAGTTTAATAGCGTTTTTAGTGGTCGAAGTCTGATAGACACTGTTGCAAAAATCCCGCCTAGGCGCTGGCCAGCCGCCTAGAGAGGCACCGACTAGGTTGCCTAGTTGGCCGATTAGCTATTGTTCCCTTCTTTTTTAAATGGGTTATTGCACCGACATTATTTTGGGCGAAATAACCCTAAATTGTTCAAACTCTAGATGTTTTTAGGTTAATATTTAATATTTAATATTTTAGTATTAAGTATTAAAGTATTAAATAGTTTATAATTATCAAGTCTTAAAAAATTTAAACAAATTTTTAAAAATAAAAAAATACACGGGCGCCTAGGCGGCGATTAATCAGCGCCTAGGCGCCTCCGAGCGTCCGAGGAGTGCCTAGCGATTTTTTCAACCATGCTGATAGGTGAATTGATTGTTGAATAACTGTACATTTGAGATCATTTAATTTGTATAATTCTTGAAAACTGCAGGGACTTTCAGAACAATGCGTTTTCCAATATATCGGGAAGTCCGATTATCCCACAAAATGTCACTGTTAGGTTTGCAATTACTATACTCTTCAGCATTTATGAATTATTTCGTTCTTATGTGTAATACCTGCATTACAATCTAATACCTAGTTGATGTAAATTTTGTCCTTTTTTTTTTTTTTTTTTTTTTCGGTATAATTCTTTAGGCTCCAAGGAAACCCGTTGTGTTCAAATGCTAACCTACTAAATGAGTCGTGTGGACCTTCTGGCAATGAAACTGATAACCGCATGATCTCAAAGAGTATCACTGACTGCCCCCCGTTGGGGTGCCCCCCACCCTACGTGTATTCGTTGCCTTATCCTACTTGCTTTTGCGTTTTACCTCTGCTTGTTCAGTATCGGTTAAAGAGTCCGGGATTCCGTGATATCCGGCCATACCTGAATGAGTTTGCGTGGTACCTGAGCGATGGTCTAGTGCTGAACCTTTCGCAAGTACGCATTGATTCACTTGACTGGGAACCAGGCCCTCGGTTGGAGATGCACTTCGAGTTTTACCCCATTTTCATGGACGTTAATAGCTCCCGTGAATTCAATAAGAGCGAAGTTTTGCGACTTACGGGCTTATTTACTGGATGGCTGATACCTGATAATGATCTTTTTGGACCTTACGAACTTCTCGGGTTCACCCTACTGGGAGACTATTCAAATTGTATGTCACTTTTTTTCATAATCTTAATGACTTTGCTTGGTTTATATGAGTAAAAACCGTAATTTTATGCTCACCGTGGGGTGCGTTTATGGTCCTCTTGCAGATATCCCTCCTTCAACTTCATCCTCCGGCCTAAGCAAGGGAGCTCTAGCCGGCATCATACTAGGGTCAATTGGCGGTGCAGTTACGCTGTCTGCATTTGTGTCACTCCTCATTTTTAGATTGCATATGCGGAAATTCCGATCAGCAACGAGGAGACGCCAAAGTGAGTATCGTACTTGTTGAATTTGGAAGATGGAATGGCCTGGCGGGTGGAGAATAACACCACCCGCCAGTTAGGCGGAAGCAATGATGAAGAATCAAAGAATAGAAAATGTATATAAGACTGAAATATATTAGTATTATATGTGTTTCTAATAAAGAAACATAGTACATATATATATACAAACACATAACTGTAAGTAACTACCCATAACTAACACCTATTCATAATTCATAAACAGAGACAACCCTATAGATAAACCTAACTCTTTATTTTTCTAACAGATAGCATATCATATTTCATCTATTATTTATGAATTGTATATCTCAAAGTTATAGCCTTGTTTAGATGTTTCCATGCTATGTTCTATATCCGTATTTTCGTTATTTTGCAGTGTCAAAGATCTCTATCAAAATTGACGGCGTGAAAGAGTACACTTTTCAAGAACTGATAGCAGCAACGAGGGATTTCAACAACTCAAGTGTTGTTGGGCAGGGAGGATACGGGAAAGTGTATAGAGGTGTCTTAGCCGATGGAACAGTCGTGGCCATCAAGCGTGCTCAAGAGGGATCATTGCAGGGCGAAAAAGAGTTTCTTACGGAAATTGAACTATTGTCTAGGCTGCATCATAGAAACCTCGTGGCTTTACTTGGATATTGTGGAGAAGAAGGCGAACAGGTAGGTACCTTAAAATGCACATCACGTAAAATGAAAGATCGTTGTCTATAACTAACAGAATAGTTTAACGCTAACTTCATTGGTACAATTTATGACCGAAAATTGCATGGTTGAGAAATTTGACACGTGAAAAAGAAGATATTCAAAATGATTCTAAGCAATTATTTCCCGATTAGTGCTTTCACTGTGACACCGTCTAACAGATGTTTATATACGTTTTTTTTGTTTTTTTCTCTGCTTCACATTTAGATGCTGGTCTACGAATTCATGCCGAATGGTACTTTGAGAGATCATTTGTCTGGTAAACTAAGGATTTTTTTTTATTTTTTTTTTTTTGTCGTCTTCCTACTATTATCATCTTACGCCATTAACTGAACTCTTTGCCCATGTGATACGACAGTTAAATCTAAAGATCCTCTAACCTTTGCCTTGAGATTGAGAGTCGCACTGGGTTCCGCGAAGGGCATTCTATATTTGCACACGGAAGCTGATCCGCCTATATTCCATAGAGATATCAAGGCAAGTAACATATTGTTGGACGCAAAATTTACAGCCAAGGTTGCTGATTTTGGACTTTCACGGCTTGCGCCTGTCCCTGATCTCGAAGGGGAGGTCCCCGCTCACGTATCGACGGTTGTTAAGGGTACTCCGGTAAGCATTATCTCTTTGAAAATAAGTAGCCATGTAACTCGAGCAAGCAACTTATTGATGTCATCATGATATGTTTTTGTTTGGAGAACTGAGAGTTCACATATGCTACGAAGTCACAAAAATATGGCGTTCTTGCAGGGATATCTCGACCCGGAGTATTTCCTAACCCACAAACTCACGGACAAGAGCGATGTTTACAGCCTTGGTGTAGTATTCCTCGAGTTGTTGACTGGAATGCACCCTATTTCTCACGGCAAAAATATTGTTAGGGAGGTAAGCTCTTTCCCACTTCATTGTACTGTTGAGTGTTGAACATAACATAATATGACAAGTTGAGATAGTACACATCCTCCACAATCCTATCTCGAGCCTGGGTGTGGGGCCCTTGGAGCGAGGGATTTCGCCTTTTGTGGGCAAGATAGTACACATCTTTTAATTTAGTTGAGAAATAGGCCATAAATTCACACAAGACTTGTGGTTTGCATTGCATCAGGTAAACGTTGCATATTCTTCGGGCATGATATTCTCTGTGATTGATGAGCGGATGGGATCATATCCTTCTGAATGCGTGGAGAAGTTCATAACACTGGCTCTCAAATGCTGCCAAGACGACACAGATTCCCGGCCTTCAATGGCAGAAGTGGTTCGAGAACTGGAAGCCATATGGCTTATGATGCCGGAGTCTGACACCAGAATCAGAGATTCATCATCGGTCACTGATCCGATCAAGGATGTCAGCTCTTCATCTGCATCGGCGCCCATGAAAAATCCATATATTTCAACTGATGTCTCCGGCAGTGACCTAGTCAGCGGCGTCGTCCACACCATTACTCCCAGATGATGCATAAAACCAGGGGCAAAGAAACATGTTTGTATATAGCCATCCATAGAGACTTGTTTCTGTTTGCAGAATTCAGTAGTTAGTTGTTGCTGGACAACATGATTCTGTTATTGTAGTGTCTTGTTTGTTAAGGATCCACTCTCATTTTGATACTTGAATGTTGATTATGGAAAATAAATCATTCTTGATTTGAGTCAGTTAGCTATGAACAACCTAGATTGATTTAGTTTATTCATTCTTGATTTGAGTCAGTTAGCTATGAACAACCTAGATTGATTTAGCTTATTATTACAATCCTTTGCCGATTAACAAACCAAGCTTTCACTTAAAGCCCACATTTAATGACTACATGCTTTCTCATGAATTCAAAAATTCTTAATTTGAATCAATTAACTATGAATAACCTAAATTGGTTTGCTTTTTCAAGTGTCAATTGGCACAAGCGCCTTTTTGTACCTTGTATTATCATGTACACATACATGATTGTATAAAATATTACTCAGTATTAGGAATGATTCCTAATCATATCCAATACATTCATGTATGTATACATAATAGCACCAAGTGCAAAACGCATCATAACCAATCGGTATTGTAAAATGCTACATATGTTCACTACATTTGCATAACCTTAACAAGGCTTTCCACTTATTTTCTTTCAGAAATCCAATATACAGTTCCAAAAGCCAATTTTTGAAGGGATCCAGAATAACATACAAGGAACTTGTTCTTGGTAGCTAAGCTTTTCTTTTGAAATATGAGGGTAAAACATGAGATATGCACATCCTCCTGCAGTCCTGGGCTAGGTAGTTCCCTTCTCTAGAGGTTGAAATATACAAAAAGAATATATAACAGACGCACATGGCCATAGGCCATAGCAATCAGATGCTCACTAAAAACCATCTTAAACCACACGTTTTCATGAAAACAAACTTTCAATTTCAGCACAGACCATTCTATGAAAATGGTTTTGAATGTCTTCCCAAACCATTTTTTGATGGTGCGGGTATGTAAGAGGAAACGCCATCAGAAGCATCCGTAAGCTCTGGGGATGGCACGGGATGAGATGAGAGGTCATTGGTCACTTGGGGAGTTTCAACCTGGAATTGGAGGAATAGGTGAGCTGAGGAAGAAAGCAATGTGCTATTAAACAATTGCAGATTAGTAGATGTGTGTACCTTTATGGGGTAAACTTCAGTCACCTCTTCATTAGTTTCATCCAGGTACACAACATCCTGCATAGTGAGCTGGTGGTACTCGACAATCTCCCTTAGGAAACGGTTCTCGCGTGTGAGTACTGAGTTCTCTTGAGCCAACCTAGCCTTCTCAGCCAAAAGTGTCTCTAGTTGGAGCCTTATCTGATATACACGTATTACCATAATAATCATTACTTCCATTGTGGGGCAAAATTTTAAGCATGAGAAGATTAGAAAAATGCCATGAAATATGAGAAATGATGCATAAAAGAACTGAAAGCAAGTCCAGATAAGTCTAATTGCATGACTCATACACCATGGCAAATGACAGATCAATATTATATAATCAGGAGGAATACCAAGTCATCATCTTCTGGGTTGCCACCTTTATCACGACTTTCTCTAAGAATTCGATTTTCTTCTTCCAGCTGTGCACAACGCTCTTTTGCAAAAGCCAAATCAGCTTTTACAGTCTTAAGCTCCCGTAGTTGTACTTTTGATTTTGCAGCCATTGCATTTGCAACCTGATATACAGAACAGATAGTGTATCAAATAACTCACAACAGCAACTACATGTATTTTGTCGAGAGCATTGGAATATTAATAAGAGCAATTCCATAGAACATTTCATCTATGGTTTCCAAATTCCGGTCTCAAATTACTAGGAAATGGGCTCCACTATCCACTAATAACAAGAGAAGCCATTTGCTGCAAAAGAGTCACAAAAATCCAGCATATTTGAATTCAAAATCAGAGCAACTAATAACTACATATTAAAATTTAAAAAATATATATATAAAAATAAAAGATAGAACTACTCTATTTATGCCCACGGAACCAAAGATATATAGGCATTCTCCAAATAAAGTATAAGACTTGATTTTGCTAAAGACTGTATTGGAGCAATATGTTGTCAATTTTTTATATATATGCATTTTATTCATTATCCAAACCAGTGATACACAGTTGCCACCTTACGTCGCGAGATGCTTTCAGCTGAGTTTCTAAATCAGTCTGTGGCTGGGTTTGCACATTGTTCCGCATAGCAGGTTGCTGCCACACACCACTAACATTTGAAGCTTGATTCTGCGCAGAAGTACTTCCTTTTCTCCTTATTTGTAGCTTTCGAGTTTGAAGTATATCTGCAGTACGATTCTCCACAACTGCACGGCCCTCCTGCACAGGAATTGAAAATATTCATGCCAAAGCAGGGAAGCAGCACCACATATTAAACTGTGTAGATGAAGCATTCATTACAAAGAGAAAAAGAAAATGCAGATATGTACAGCATCATTACAAAAGAAAAGTTAAGGGTGTAAGGCAAGCCTACCTCAAAAGCATTGCCAATGGTGTCGCCAATATAATTAAGGGAAGATGCAAGGGCATCCAACCCTTTCTGCAGTTTATGGTTTTCTGGTTTTCTTTGGCTTTCTGGAAGCTGTTTTAACCATAAAGTGGCAAGGAAACAATGATATAATTTAGGTTTCTTATGTATATATTTAAACCCAAATACATCAAACACGTGGACTGGAAGAAATGATATTAATTAAGCAAAGCATCAATAAAAAATTTATTAACTCATGAATTACAGTTACATATCTGCCTAAAATGTGAGTAGCAATGAAATGGAACATTTGATCAATTGACAAGCTTCCTGCTCCAGGAGTGAAAAATTTACTAAAATCATAAATTATTCACATGTTAAATAAGTTTCTGACTTTCAAAACCTCTTTCTGACCTTATCCCTTGTTGTGGTATCAGACATCTGCTGTGTCCTTGTTCTCCCCACAGCTTCATGTTGTTGTTGCTCCACAATATCATCATCAATAATGGATTTTGCTTTCCTGGCTAGTGCACCCCAAAATCCTTGTTTGGGCTCATTAAAGCTTTTCGTTGAAGTATATCCATAGTTGGATGAATCCTATATACATACAAACAATCTGGCTGAAGTGGAAACATATTTTTCCAAAATAAGCAAATCAGAGCAAGTGAACAATTCAACTAAATCTCTATATCCAACTTCACAAGCTGAAAATCTTATTTGGCTTCAGCTATGGTGGAGAATTCTATATCTATCAATCTAGTTCTAAAAAGAATGAAAAAGCTTTGATTGCTCCTAACATTCAAATTTTCGCTTGTCATATGGACACTATAAAGTCCAAATGAATAACATACTCCTAGTAAATATAGTAAATTTAGATAAAACACTAATATGATTTACGCAAGCTAATCTCCTTCATCAATCCTTTGCCATGCCAAATTCAACTCCGCAGTACTCATACTGAAGCATAAAATCACTCACTCAAGTCCTGCTCCGTTAATAGATACTTGAAAATTAAGAATGTACATGACTTATTACAAAAGCATACGCATAACTCTGAAATGCAACGGGACAAATGAAGTTCCAGAAAGTGGACCTTAGTTGAGGAAGGAAAAGAGGAAGATCTAACGGTATTAGACGACTCCCGAGGAGAAGAGACAGCAGACTCGCCGTAAGCTGAGGACAGAGAGAAGTCGCGATGAGCCGAGGACGCTCTGATGGCCTTCGCGGCGAGCGACGACGAAGAGTTGGCGCCGTCAGGCACTGAAATCGAAAACGGAGGAGGCTCGTGCAGACTCTCAATCTCTTCCCCGGACGCAGCAGAAGTCCTCGGCACTTGCTGCCGCCGACGGTACGCCATACAATCAAAACTTAATGCGCCGCTACCACCACCGCCGCCGCCGGCAATAACTAATTCCGCCGCATTCCATAAAAAACTCGCTCAACTGCTCTCAATCAATGTCACCAATCACCCTCTCCTCCCGATCGTCTCCCTCTGACTACACCTTCTACAGTTTGTCAACGCGTCGTGACCCGCCTAACTTCGCGGACCAAGAATCTGAGATCTGATTCCTCAGCTTCTAGATTTGCGGTTTGGAATCCGGGCCTAGTGTAGAAGCATTGTCAGATCGGCCCACTAATTAATGCTAATCTGTCCGGCCCATATAACTGGCATTATTATTTGGGCTGAAGCCTATAATAAATTAAAGCCCAATAATTGTTTGGCTTGTTATTGGCTGACCAAGATCTATCCAACAGTTATACCATGGACCCGGGTCCTATATACACAATTTACATATTAAATGTTCACAATTTAAATTGTGTACATTTAGTATGCAAAAATTATGAACATTCAGTATATAAATTGTATATTTTTGAACCCGAATCCACAGAATAATTTGCAAGATCCATCAAAATGAGAAGTAAAAAACATTGATTCTTCAGTGAAAAACTAGGAATCTATATATCTGACAATTATATTGTGGATCATGGTACATATTGCAAGATAGATATGCTTATTTTTCATTTGATAATTCAAGTTTTCTGATTTTGCCAAATAGGTACCCTGTCACCTGCGTACAAGAGGTTTTTACCACTTCCCAGTGAAATTTGAATCTCCACATTATTGTTGGAAGTCAAATTAAACATATATTGGGCGACCATTTGAGCTACTTAAGTACTTAGTATACTGAAGGTTCAAACAATAAATAAAATTCTAATTCTAATGTTATAATGAGAATTCTTGAAAAGGATGATTGTATAAGGGGCAATGTTTGAAGGTTGAATATTGGGGAGCGTATAGTATGCAATTATGATGGAAAGAAGACTTCAGCGGCCACCATGATTAACGTCACGTTGCAAAAAAAAGAGTTTGATTCCGAGTTCAAAATTGGCATCATATCATATATATTTCCGACGACAAACACAAAACACCGTACACTCTTTCCCTACCAAACCTTTTTATTTCTTGCCACCATCATAAATTCCTATAATGTTTTTTTTTCTACCTTTTCAACCTTTGCCATGATTCCATTCATACGTTGGCAATCTTGCCGTACCAAGAATCTTTTTCCACTTGGTAATTCAATTACTACATACACCTTTAAAAAAAAAAAGGAAACAAAACCAACTAAGAGCATCTACACCAATGTATAATAGGGAGATAATAGTACAGTCATATACACTTCAA